ATTGGTGGGTATGTTATTTAAATTAGTAAATTGCTCTATTTTTAAATATTAATATAATATTATTTTTATTATTAATTTTTAAATAATTTATTTTAACCCCCAATATTTCAAATTTAGTTAAAACACCTTCGCTTATATAAAACTTTAATTTATAACAAACTTACCCCAACCACCCTGTCACCACGGGAAGTCGCTGTGAGCAGTCCATCGTGACCGGGAGGCCTCGATATGGCCATTTTTGACCATATTGATGGCCGAAAAGGCCATATCGGAAGCAGATCTGGCTAGAAATGGTCAGATATTGATGGGTCTGACCTTTAACAACCAGACCCTTGGCCTTTATCGGCCAGATCTGGGCGAGATATGGCCGTTAAAGGCCACATATCTGGCCGCTAAAGGCCAAGGGTGTGGCCGTTAACGGCTAGATCTACTCCTGATATGGCCTTTTCAACCATCAATATGGCCAAAAATGGACATATCGGGGCCTCCTGGTCACGATGGTCTGCTCACGGCAACTCCAGGCGACTTCCTGCGGCGACCGGTGATGGTTTGGCTGGCAGCAGGCGGCAATAGGTGGGTAGGGGTGGTGGCTTGGGTAAGCTTAAATTTGTTTTGATTTCAAGGGTAATTATGTCCAAAAAGTTAATTCATTGGGGTGAAATGGTAAAAGCAAGATTCATGTAAATAAATTTAAAAATAAGGGCATTATTGTCCTAAAATTTTATTAATAAGAGATAGAATTGTAACAAAAAAAAAAAAAAGATTACCCAAGTAATTTGACAATACCTAAGAAAATTATCAACAATAACCACTATTGGTATTTGAAGATTACCAGAATCTTATATTACTTGACAACCAAACATGGTAATCAAGTAATATAAGATGACTTAACCCTAGTAATCTCACATAACCCCCAACCAAATGCCCCATAACTGTTATTAGGGGTGTTCAAAAGCGGTTAACCGCTTTTTTGAACCGAACCGGTTTTTCGGTTCGGGAAAATTCCCGAATCGAAACCGAACTGGTTTGGAGGGAAAACCGGTTTTTAAGAAAACCGCCTTTTTTAAAGCGGTTAACCGGTTTTGAACCGGTTTTCCCTTTTTTTTATAAAACTTATTTTTTCCTAAATTAAATTGTAAATATAAATAATACATATCCAAATAAAAATTAGACATTAATATATATCCATTGACCACTACTAACAATACATTAAAAATATTATTATTTTTTATTTAATATATAATATATAATATTTTTATTTTTATTTTATATATATATTTTGTAAAACCGGTTTCGGTTAACCGCTTTTTATTTTTTCCCGAACCGGTAACCAAACCGGAAATTCGATTTTTTAAATTTCTCGAACCGTAACCGAACCGTTTTTTCGGTTAACCGGTTTTTCGGTTTGGTTATCGGTTCGGTTCAGTTTTTGCATTTTTTTGAACACCCCTAACTGTTATTTGGTGTTAACTTTGACAAAATAAAAAAAGATAAAAAGACGTAAATGCCCTCAAATGTTAGGTTTTTTAATTTATATAAATTTAGTTTTTGAATTTTAATCTTACAAAGATTTTCACACAAAGTAATGTGATAATTAATGAATGGAAGAGTGAATATAATGAGTTTGATTTTTTGTTTCACTCTTTTATTCATATTTTGCCACCTCACTTTATATAATTTTTTTTGTAAGATTTCTTTATAAGTATAGTATTATTGTTTTAATTTTAAGAAGAAAAAAACCATTGCCAAAAAAATATTGAAAATGAGGATATTGGTTTGAATTTTAAAACTAAATTTTGTTTTTTTCATCTTCCCTCTAAGTTTAATCTATTTTAAAAAGAGTAAACGACATGTTCCCACCCAAGGTTTAGCGAAATCCCAGGGTAGCACCCTTGGTTTCATAAATTCCAAATTCCCACGGATCCAGGCCGCTGGTTGGAGTTTTGTGTTGCGGGAGTGCTTGTGGGAGTTTGATTGCTTGTTGATTTGTTGGAGTTTGTTGATTGTTTGTGTGTAGTTTGTGGAAGTGTGTTGATTGTAGAGGTTTGTGGGAGTTTGATTATGTGTTGTTTTGTCAACCATATCCACCAGCTTGACCCAGTAGCCTTCCTAAGCCGCCCCCCACTTGTTCGACAAAAAACCGCACCCACCCAACCACATCTACGCACGACTGCCCCTGTCGTGCGGAGGGAAAAAACTGACAATTTGTAGAGGGAAACGTCGCAAAGTACGATTGTCGTGCAACCCCTGTAGTAGATTGTGGATAGCAAATGGTGAGTGGGGACGACCGATGGTGGGGTGTGTTTTGTTGAGAAGAGGACAAGGGTTCGTGCGATAGTGGCAGGGGAGATGATGAAGAGAAGGTGTAAGGGTACTTTGGTATAAGAGCCTTTTGCCCCTGTGTCAGAACCCAACCATCACTAACGATGTCCATTTAAGGGTGTGAATATGAAATTTATGAAATCAGGGGTACCAATCTGGGATTTCGCTAAACCTTGGGTGGGAACATGTCGTTTACTCTTTTAAAAATAACCATACAATTTTTTTTTTTTTTTTTTTTTACCTTCCCACAGAGTTAAATCTAGCCCCAATCAACATTTTATTGTCTCTTAATTGAATGATTTAAAACTTTTGTCCCTAATTTATAAATTTCACCTCTCTTTTTGTGATTGGATAACAAGCCTTTAGCCTACGGGATTAACTATACCCAGAAGGGAAGAGACAATAGTCGAATTTACCCAAAAACAAAAAAAAATTCTAAAAACTTTATAACCTAATTGATATATTTAATAGTTTTTTATTAAATGGTAGACCGAGAGCATGACACGTATCCTATGTACGTTTTCCGCTTTGCTATTTAACATCCCATGTAAATTTCATTTGGGACGGACTCTGGCTCTAAAGTTAAGGCCCAACTGGAGGCCCATGTTTCTCAGCAAGTTTATCCGATATTTGATGAGATATCGTGATTGTACCCTGAAGATATTTTAGAAGTACAACCATATAAAGCAGCAGTAACCGACTCACATTCCCCAACTATGTATTTTAGGGTTTAAAAAATCCGACACTCAGAAAAACAAAAAAGAGATCAAACAAAGAGTTTAGGTAAGCAATAACATTTTCGCCGAAACTTTTTCTTAGGAAGCAAACAGATTGTTACTAGTCTCAGTCTAATTCTTTCGCTAAAGTGTCGCCGTTTTCTGTGCAGTAATCACTTATTTTGGTATATGTCAGGGAGAGACATGGCTGGGAAAGACGAGAACCGTATATTTGTTGGCGGATTGTCGTGGGACGTCAATGAACGACAGCTCGAAAACGCGTTTAGTCGTTTTGGAAAAATTATCGAGGCTCAGGTACTTATAATTTTTAGTTCAAAGCTCAGCGGTTTTTTTTTTTTTTTTTTTTTAAATCTGGTTTTCTTTTCTACTGTTTGGTTGCCCAGAAACTCATTTTTGTGTTTCTCTTGGACTGTTTGGTTGTCTAGAAACTGGAAGGAAAACGAAAGAAAGTTTAAAATTTCCCTATGAAGGATGGATTTTCGTATTCAGTTGTAAACATATATATATTCAGGACGAACAGAAACAATTAACAGTCGTTGATAAATGATATTTTAATCAGAATTTTATTATATTAGGGTTTTTTTTTTTTTTTTTCTTTTTCTTTTTATCAATATGCGTTAAGAACCAAAGCTTTTTATATTATAGCCAGAGTAGCTTGCCTTCACTTAATCGAACCACTGCATACCGATTCCCTGTCCTGGTCTCGACACCCAACCATAGCTGATATTTAGCTGTTAAATGTATCCCATAATCAAAAGATTAGTCTTCATTCTTTGCATTGATTATGTTGATATTGGTCTGTGGATTTTCTTATATTTGTTTTCTGATTTTTTTTTTTTTTTTTTAACAACATATTAATTTTTTTCTACTTGTTTTGTTGCTCTCTTTGGAATGCTCGTTATGAACTAATGAGATGCTGTAGATGGATTTTTTAAGAGGCATTTTTGGTCAGAATCGAGTGGCTGAAGCTCAGTGTCAGTTTGAGTGATTAGATTAAGGTGGGTGGTAATGTTTAGTTTTTCCGGCGAGCAACCATTCACAATAATTGATGGATCTCTGTTTTTATGGATTATAGTTCATGATAGGCATTCAAAGTCATATACTTGGATTAGCCACTTTTGCCTTGGAAAGAGTTCTTATCCATGGAAGGCACTTTGCTTGGACCTTAGTAATCCTGCTCATAAGTATGGAACTGATCTTATCCAGTAAAACTGGCTGAATAATCAACAAGTTACGATAGAATATTTTGAGACTTACTTTCATGTTGTATAATATTTTCTGTTTTTGTCAGCTTTCATCCATCTGGATTGTGTAACCAATGAATTGAAGAGTCTAAAGTGCTTAGTCTTTAACGACGATAATGCCCTTGTCTACCTGGAGAATGTGATTTGCTTCTGCCGGATGGAAGAAAATTTGTCTCTTCAAGTGGCTTTCCAACTATTTTCTAGTTAGAACAGTATTTCATTGTGAAGGTTATGTATGGGTCTTTGATATGAATTTGGAGCTGGAATAAGTGTAGCACTGAATGTTGATCAATAGGTATCTATGTCAGTCAAATTCAGAGGGTTCTAGAGCTGTCAGAAGCATTAAATATTCTATGGAGTTTTCTCAATGCGAAGACATGTTAAAGTCATGTTGATTTTGCTGGTCTATCATTGCGTATGATGTGAAAACTGGCATCTGCTTTGGATGGAATATGATGCTGTCTAACAAGTGGGAGATTGATGGAGTTTACTTTTTCTGTTCTTCGGCCTTGTTCCTTGGGTTTTATCTGCTTTGAACTTCTCTGTCGTCACACTACAACAATTACTATTGTTGGCTTAGCGGGTGAAAGGATCAGAGCAAGTCTTGTTTTTTTGTTTTCAGTGCGTTGATATGGTTGCTTGTGTTACAGCTAAAATTAAACTTTCAAATCTAGCTAAAGTACTTTCAGACGCTATTTTACCACCTCTTTTCACATTTTCTTTCTTGGAAACATACTGGAAATCTAGTCAGTGAGCAGATTTTACACTGAGCCTCCTGAAATGTTGAAACTGATCAACCTGGAGTTTGGGTGCTTGTAGCTGGTGGCAGCTCTGTTTCTTTTTTCTCTTCCCCTCTATCATCAGAGAACAATCTATCCATGTGACTATCATCTGATATAGTGATGACTGAAAGTATTTTATTTTCATCGTTCAGGGGACATGGTTTTGTTCTTAAATCAAGTATCAGTTGTTAGAGGTTCTCTTGATTTAGTTCCCTTTATGATGGGTACATGGACTCATTTCTTGACTGCATAGTTGACCGATTTCTTTTGTCACCTGCTGGCATGGTTGATGAACCGCCATAGAAGGAACTAGAAGCATGAAGAATTTGAGAACAACATTCAGAATGAAGAGATTGTTTGATGATGCACTGTAGTTTGTAACTGATATTAGTCATCGTGGATAGCAGAGAGATTGATTTGTGCATAATAAGTTTTTCTCATGGAGATCTGTGCCGACTGTTTACCTGTTTAGATCATGGACTGGTTTTGTGACGTCAAGAAGGACAACACCCAGAAATTAACATTTTGATAGTCCTTTTGTTGAGATTTTTTTACCTATTAGTGGGGGTATAGCCATATTTATAGTAATCTGCTCCCATGCCCAGTTCAAAAATATTTTGATGCATTTGACTGTACGACTGTTACCAGTTATTTTCTGGAATTGGTATCTTGGTTCATCAGATGACAGATATGCAGCGTTACAGTAAGTTATTTGCTTGCTTAACAATTTGAAAGCGCGCTATTTCCTTGTATTACTCCCTGTTTTATTTGCATCCCAGATTAAACTACTTTAATAGTCCATGAAAGTAAACTCTGGAACTAATTATTCCTGAGGCCTTAAACTGAGGTACTAAGTTTCTGAGGTATATGTGTGTTGTTATGTTAAATTAGGATTGTTTACTAAAAGCTGCTTAGAATATTTAAAATGTAACTTTCAAAATATGCTCTGTTCTGATGGGAACCATTAGTGATGTTGGTGTGCTAGGTCAGATAGTTTACAGTCTCTGAATGCTCTGTTAGCTTGTCAACCTTGTTTAATGTTGTTTTCTTGTTCAATTCTTTTTTTATCTGGATATAAGTCTTTCACAATGGTTAAACTTGAGTTATGATAAGTTTGATTAGATGAAACTCATTTTAAGTCTATGGAGAAAAGATTGTTTACAAGTTTATTTGCTATGTGTATGGTTCGAGTTTACAATCTCTTTTCCTTTTGGGAGTACATGGTCGTTGATCATGGTATTTCCATTTTCTTGTATGGCCTGTTATCTTTTGGAGTGTCTGGTCATTAATCATTATCTTATTTATGAAGTTTCACTAGCTCCATGTGCAGGTTTTGGTCATATTGCTAAGTAATTGGTGTGGAGCAAGTTTCCAGTGTTTGCCTGTTTTGCTTTTAATTCATATCAAAAAAATATTGTTGCTAATCTCATCTTATTCACAATGATGTCAATTTGTTAGTGTTGCGTTCTTTTCTTTGGTTTTGGATCGTCTGCAGTCGTGCTATTTATTGGCATCAGATTCTCGTGTATTCTTGTAGATCATGATGGAAAGAGATTCAGGCCGTCCACGTGGATTTGGGTTTGTCACATATGCAGACCGACGAGCGATGGAAGATGCTATCAGAGAAATGCATGGACGGGAGTTTGGTGAAAGGATCATCTCTGTCAACAAGGCTCAGCCCAAAATGGGAGGGGAGGATGCAGACCGTGGCTTCAGGGGAGGCTACTCATCTGGTGGCAGGAGAAGCTATGGTGCAGACAGGCCTGCAGGACTAGATGAATGTTTCAAGTGTGGGCGATCTGGACATTGGGCCCGTGATTGCCCTTCTGGTGGTGGTGCCCGAGGTGGGGTTGGAGGTAAACTTTCATCACGTCACAGGTATGGGGGAGCTGGTGGACGTGGAGACCACTTTGGAGGAGGTCGTGATCGACACATGGATGACCGGTATGATGGAGGGCGTTATGGAGATAGGGACCGTTATGACAGCAGAGATAGCAAATATGGGGGCCGTGATCGCTATGTTAATGACAGGTATGGAGTTTCTGATGATGGATATCTGCTCAATGCAAATGTAACGCTTAAGCACTTCAATTTATAGATTATGCGAAAAAATGTAAGGGTTTGTCACTGCAATAGATAAAGCCTTTTTTTTTTTTGATCAACATTTTGTAACAATATAGGTACCAACCTGGTGGAGATCGTATTGCAAGTGATAGGTATGGTGGTTCAGATCGCTATCCTCAGAATGGTTATGGCAAGGACAGAGGCTATGAAAAAGATGGTGGTCCACGCGGAGGCAGCGATAGGTATGGAAATGGAGGAGGGCCAGCACGGGATGACGGAAGAAGCTATAGAAATAAAACTGGTCCATATGACCGCCCAAACAAAGATCGCCCTTCTTCCTTTGATCGTTACTAATTTATGGGTCTTTTCTGTAACTTTTAGGTGTAAAACCTATTTTAGGTAACTTGGTTTTTGGCTCTCTTTAAGTCATGTAGGATGGTGCTTTTGCAATGAGCAGCAAGTTAGATGAACTGCAAAATTTTGAATTTCCAAATTTTTATTTAATTCGGATTTAATTTATCGTGAATGCATAATTAATATAACATAGAAAGATGTTATTTTAACTGTTTAAAGCAGTATTTTAAAACCCAGGGGTGAAACCCGGCAAAGTGGCCTCTGGTTGATTGGTGGGTTAAATTGGTATGTTATTATGTAAAAAAGTTTGAAATCCAGAAAAAACACTCTTGAAAACTTTGTAAGTCCTATAGGTTTGAAATTTTGTAAAAACATCCCAAAACATACTGCTGGTGTCAACAACACAGGCTAAATAGGGCTTGTTTCTGGCATTGACAACACACACCATCATCCGAAAACTCTTCTCTCAATCTCCTGATCAAAACTCATCTCACCCTACCCTTGTTTATCTCGTCAATCGTCGACAGTAGTCAGCTATTTTGATAATTGATTTCTGCGATTTTCGATCGTTTCACTCATCAGAAATCACCTTTGTTGTCACCTTTTAACTCACTGGTCTTTCATCTTCAGATCCCCAATATCTGAGTCAACAATTATTTGTCGATCGTTGTCCTAATCTCTAGGGTTTTTCATGAACAGTCAAAATTGAAAACTCGCCCGATGAAGGCTTTCGGTTCCAGTTGAACTGGTTCAACCAGTCGGGTCGGGTCGGGTTTTAAAACACAGCTTTAAAATAGTATAAATATTTTTTAAAAATTTTAGTAAATTTTTATTCAATGAAGAGTTTTCCAAATCCTTCCAAGTATTTCCATGCTCACCTAAACAACTACGTGGATAAATTCCAACAAGTGATCAATAATCAAAGCAAGCCAAATTTATCAAGACTTGAGACTGCTATCAACAACATGTGCTGTCAAAATAATGGGCATATTCCTATTCCAATTCCAATTTTCGATTATATCTCTTTGATTGTTACAAGATTCCGATTCTAAGAAACAAAAAACAAAAAACAAAAACAAATATCCTCGTGTGGTTCACACTGTCATGTGTAAACACATTGACATTAAAGTAGAATCTACTTTAATGAAGTGTGCTCGACTACATTCATTTCAAATAATAATAATAAGAAGAAATGGTGTGCTTGACTTATTTCTTTTCATATTCATTTTCTCTTTCACTTGCACTCTCATTTCTTTATTTCAATTTCCAATGGCAATTCCAGAAGCAATCCTTTGAATAATATAAATGCACGGTGCCTTCGACTCTTGGGCATTGACTAACCAGAACTGCGGAATCAACACTTATCCAAAGCAAACTTTGTGGAAATTAATAGTGGGGGTATAGCCATATTTATAGTATTCCGCTCCCATGTCCAGTTCAAAAATATTTTGATGCATTTGACTGTACGACTGTTACCAGTTATTTTCTGGAATTGGTATCTTGGTTCATCAGATGACAGATATGCAGCGTTACAGTAAGTTATTTGCTTGCTTAACAATTTGAAAGCGCGCTATTTCCTTGTATTACTCCCTGTTTTATTTGCATCCCAGATTAAACTACTTTAATAGTCCATGAAAGTAAACTCTGGAACTAATTATTCCTGAGGCCTTAAACTGAGGTACTAAGTTTCTGAGGTATATGTGTGTTGTTATGTTAAATTAGGATTGTTTACTAAAAGCTGCTTAGAATATTTAAAATGTAACTTTCAAAATATGCTCTGTTCTGATGGGAACCATTAGTGATGTTGGTGTGCTAGGTCAGATATTTTACAGTCTCTGAATGCTCTGTTAGCTTGTCAACCTTGTTTAATGTTGTTTTCTTGTTCAATTCTTTTTTTATCTGGATATAAGTCTTTCACAATGGTTAAACTTGAGTTATGATAAGTTTGATTAGATGAAACTCATTTTAAGTCTATGGAGAAAAGATTGTTTACAAGTTTATTTGCTATGTGTATGGTTCGAGTTTACAATCTCTTTTCCTTTTGGGAGTACATGGTCGTTGATCATGGTATTTCCATTTTCTTGTATGGCCTGTTATCTTTTGGAGTGTCTGGTCATTAATCATTATCTTATTTATGAAGTTTCACTAGCTCCATGTGCAGGTTTTGGTCATATTGCTAAGTAATTGGTGTGGAGCAAGTTTCCAGTGTTTGCCTGTTTTGCTTTTAATTCATATCAAAAAAATATTGTTGCTAATCTCATCTTATTCACAATGATGTCAATTTGTTAGTGTTGCGTTCTTTTCTTTGGTTTTGGATCGTCTGCAGTCGTGCTATTTATTGGCATCAGATTCTCGTGTATTCTTGTAGATCATGATGGAAAGAGATTCAGGCCGTCCACGTGGATTTGGGTTTGTCACATATGCAGACCGACGAGCGATGGAAGATGCTATCAGAGAAATGCATGGACGGGAGTTTGGTGAAAGGATCATCTCTGTCAACAAGGCTCAGCCCAAAATGGGAGGGGAGGATGCAGACCGTGGCTTCAGGGGAGGCTACTCATCTGGTGGCAGGAGAAGCTATGGTGCAGACAGGCCTGCAGGACTAGATGAATGTTTCAAGTGTGGGCGATCTGGACATTGGGCCCGTGATTGCCCTTCTGGTGGTGGTGCCCGAGGTGGGGTTGGAGGTAAACTTTCATCACGTCACAGGTATGGGGGAGCTGGTGGACGTGGAGACCACTTTGGAGGAGGTCGTGATCGACACATGGATGACCGGTATGATGGAGGGCGTTATGGAGATAGGGACCGTTATGACAGCAGAGATAGCAAATATGGGGGCCGTGATCGCTATGTTAATGACAGGTATGGAGTTTCTGATGATGGATATCTGCTCAATGCAAATGTAACGCTTAAGCACTTCAATTTATAGATTATGCGAAAAAATGTAAGGGTTTGTCACTGCAATAGATAAAGCCTTTTTTTTTTTTGATCAACATTTTGTAACAATATAGGTACCAACCTGGTGGAGATCGTATTGCAAGTGATAGGTATGGTGGTTCAGATCGCTATCCTCAGAATGGTTATGGCAAGGACAGAGGCTATGAAAAAGATGGTGGTCCACGCGGAGGCAGCGATAGGTATGGAAATGGAGGAGGGCCAGCACGGGATGACGGAAGAAGCTATAGAAATAAAACTGGTCCATATGACCGCCCAAACAAAGATCGCCCTTCTTCCTTTGATCGTTACTAATTTATGGGTCTTTTCTGTAACTTTTAGGTGTAAAACCTATTTTAGGTAACTTGGTTTTTGGCTCTCTTTAAGTCATGTAGGATGGTGCTTTTGCAATGAGCAGCAAGTTAGATGAACTGCAAAATTTTGAATTTCCAAATTTTTATTTAATTCGGATTTAATTTATCGTGAATGCATAATTAATATAACATAGAAAGATGTTATTTTAACTGTTTAAAGCAGTATTTTAAAACCCAGGGGTGAAACCCGGCAAAGTGGCCTCTGGTTGATTGGTGGGTTAAATTGGTATGTTATTATGTAAAAAAGTTTGAAATCCAGAAAAAACACTCTTGAAAACTTTGTAAGTCCTATAGGTTTGAAATTTTGTAAAAACATCCCAAAACATACTGCTGGTGTCAACAACACAGGCTAAATAGGGCTTGTTTCTGGCATTGACAACACACACCATCATCCGAAAACTCTTCTCTCAATCTCCTGATCAAAACTCATCTCACCCTACCCTTGTTTATCTCGTCAATCGTCGACAGTAGTCAGCTATTTTGATAATTGATTTCTGCGATTTTCGATCGTTTCACTCATCAGAAATCACCTTTGTTGTCACCTTTTAACTCACTGGTCTTTCATCTTCAGATCCCCAATATCTGAGTCAACAATTATTTGTCGATCGTTGTCCTAATCTCTAGGGTTTTTCATGAACAGTCAAAATTGAAAACTCGCCCGATGAAGGCTTTCGGTTCCAGTTGAACTGGTTCAACCAGTCGGGTCGGGTCGGGTTTTAAAACACAGCTTTAAAATAGTATAAATATTTTTTAAAAATTTTAGTAAATTTTTATTCAATGAAGAGTTTTCCAAATCCTTCCAAGTATTTCCATGCTCACCTAAACAACTACGTGGATAAATTCCAACAAGTGATCAATAATCAAAGCAAGCCAAATTTATCAAGACTTGAGACTGCTATCAACAACATGTGCTGTCAAAATAATGGGCATATTCCTATTCCAATTCCAATTTTCGATTATATCTCTTTGATTGTTACAAGATTCCGATTCTAAGAAACAAAAAACAAAAAACAAAAACAAATATCCTCGTGTGGTTCACACTGTCATGTGTAAACACATTGACATTAAAGTAGAATCTACTTTAATGAAGTGTGCTTGACTACCTTCATTTCAAATAATAATAATAAGAAGAAATGGTGTGCTTGACTTATTTCTTTTCATATTCATTTTCTCTTTCACTTGCACTCTCATTTCTTTATTTCAATTTCCAATGGCAATTCCAGAAGCAATCCTTTGAATAATATAAATGCACGGTGCCTTAGACTCTTGGGCATTGACTAACTACAAGTGCGGAATCAACACTTATCCAAAGCAAACTTTGTGGAAATTAAAGCTCTGCCTTCTTTCTTTGCCAATTATATTGTCCCGTAGTTTGTTCATTGTATCTCTTGACAAATTAATATTAAGAATTTTTTACTAGAGGAACCCTAAAAATGTTTCTCATTTCCCTTGGAAAATTCTACAAATATCCGTTGATAAATAAGCACCTAAAATGATAACTAAGTTACAAAAATAAAGAGATTATAAGCACTATTTTTAACCTAATTTTTACCTATCAAAATGTTAAGCATAAAATTTGTAGTACATTATTTATGTTATAACTTTAGATTATTATAAATTTACCTTTTATATTATAACATTATATATATCAGAGCAAAATAGTCATAACAAACCCCAATGGGTTAGCTAGACGGTCAAGGAGTTTTACTCATTTCCTTGAGTTCTTAGATTCAAACTTTGGGGTCACCCACCACAATAATATTGTGATTTACCTAGTCTTTTGGGCTTGTAAGGTGTTTAATGGACCTCAGAGATTAGTTGAGCCATTTAGCTAAGTAGGTCCGGACACCCTGATTATCAAAAAAGAAAACAAAATAGTCATAGCAATATATGGTCATATGATGCAATCACATATGGAAAACGTGGGGATGACCCTTGCATCAGTTAGCAATAATCTCACTAATCTTTTATCTTATCATCTTATTAATTGAATTAATTAAGGACCCTTCCCAATTTTCAAACGTCACTCCACCAAATCACGTGTTTAACAATGGAGATTTAGATAATCAATTTGAGTTTCATTTAATTTTTAATTAAGAGTAAATGACATATTCCCACCTGAGGTTTAACGAAATCTCACGTTGATACCGCAAGTTGCATTTATTCTAGATTTTCACCCTTAAACTAACACTTTTAGTGACTATTGGAAGTAATCAGAAACAGTGAGTGAGATCGGCAAATGAAGGTATGATTTTTGTAGAGGAGGTTGTGGGGAGTCCAAGGATGATCTCGGAAGTGATTTTAGACTTCAGAATTTGCCGAAAAAAGCCAAAAACCTCTGCTTGGATGCTGCTAACATGAGTCGTTTCTTGCTAAGATGAGCCCGACCGAAGAAAGCACCGAAATACTTTAACGTGCTAACATGTGTCATGGTACAATGAAAAGTTTAAAATATGTTAAAATAAAGAAATTGAGGTTCCTTTAAAGATAGGAATCTGGAATAAACGTAATTAGGGTATCAATCAACCTGCCTCGGGTGGGAATATAGCCTTTGCTCTTTCATTAACTAATATAAAATTATGCTATCAGATGAGTCATCGAGTCGTGTGTCTAATACCTAATCATCATTAACATTAACATATAAATAAGTAGAAATTTCACGTGGAATCATATGCAAGTTGACCAGTTGATGTCAGAAAAAATAAATTATAATTATAATAATTTCCTACATTTTTGGTTTGTTATATTCATTGTATTTGACTTGAAGTTCAATCAATACAATTAATTGAATTTTTTTTTTCTCGAGAAAATATTTTCTTATTGCAGGTGGAATTACGATTAAAATATTTTTATGTATTTGGTAGCTCAAAATCAACGAATTATTATTATTATTATTATTGTATTTGAATCATTACAAAATATTGATCAATGACAATGAAGAAATCAATTAATTGTTAAATATGTATTTAATGATGTGTTAATGACTCAATCATTCTAATTAAAATTTGAAATAAAAATTATTAAATTTAATTATGATAACTCCCTCGATTAAAATCTAATATGGATCTCTTCTTATCTACTTCTTTTTCCAAGTGGTTGGTCCAATAATAATATAAATAAATAAACTTTTATGTATTTAATCCCATATCTTTTGATTGATATTCACACCAATTATTGTTGAATTTTTGTTTGATGAGATTTCAATGCATATCTCTAGTCAAACCTAATATTTGACAACACCCATAAGAAATCATAATCAATCGGTTTCACATACTAGTTTGATTTTGATCCGGAATGCACCTACTCAAGTTTAATCTTTATTAGTTTTATAATTGATGTCGGCTCTTTTATTTTTTTATCTTACAATTATCTTATATGATTCTTGAAATAGTCCAACAAAGTTTGATTAATAATTATAAAATTTATTAACTAAGCTTATTTATAAATATCATAAAATTTTCAGTACTTTTTTGAAGAAATTTATTTACCCATTTGTAATTAAAATTTAAAGTTAAATAAAAAAAGAAATGTTTTACCATTATTTTTAGAGTAAACGACTTTTTTTTTTTTTTTTTTTTTTGATCTGGCGGTGTTTGGGCCAGTTTGAGCGTACTTCAACTAGTCTCTCGAAGCATTAAAGTTAACGGTCAGGTAAGCCTCTAGTAGTTATTCCTTATTAGTAGTCGTGGAGATTTGAACCCAAAACCTTACAAGTAATATATTCAAAAATCTCAAGCAAACCACAAAACTATCAAAAGTAAACGACTTTTTCCTACCTAAGATTTGGCCTAATGACACTTTCTTATCTAAAAACTTTCAAAATACAACTTTACTACTTAAACGTTATGTTTTGTTTATAATTTCTATCAAACACAGTGATATTCATTATGAATACGAAAATACGTTTGACTTAAAAGTTAATTTTGATCTTTTAATTTTTTAATAAAAACACTAAAGTTAAATTTTCTTTGCCCCCTCACTTTATTCTTTTTTGTTTCCACCCTCTTCTTCCTTTCTTTCACTTTTTCACTCCCTTCTGAACCTTCATTTTCTTTTCCATCAACTCCTTCCTTTCTTCTCTTCTTATTCTTCTTCTTCCTTTTTTCTTTCCTTCTCCTCTACTTATTTTCTTTCATCTCTCCTTCTCGCCATGGTTGCTTGGCCCTAGCAGTGGGTTTGGATCGCCGTGTGAGGGCCTCATGGCGGTTAGATTTTGCCGCCACAAAGCCCTCACGCAGCAGCCAAATTTGGCCACTGTAAGGGCCAAGAAGCAGCCATCTGACCGTTGCTTTTCGCTCACATGAAGGCCAAATCTAACCGCAACAAGGCTTCCATGCAATGGTCACATCAGGCTTCTCTCTTATACTTATTTTGAGAAAATGCAGGATCCTACGGGAGCAAATGTTAGTTGATCATTCTACCTTTACTTGTAACAGATTTTTGGCCATCTTATTCTTTTTCACAATAAAATATTAACAAAATTTTATTATGCATAATAAAGTTATATTTTAAAATTTTTTGGGTGGAAAATATCGTCAGACCAAACCTTTGGGTGGAAAAAAGTCGCTTAGTCTTATTTTAATCATTTTAGGGGAAGAAGAGGCCACTTAATTTCAACACAGCAAGGTAATTTTTATTTTATTTTATATAATTTAAATATTAATATAATTAATTAGATTCCTTGGCATTTGCAACCTAGTTCCTATTCTTAAGGAATTAAATATTAACCAATTAATGAAAGTTTTTGCTACATTATTAATTCACTGTATCTATTTTCTAATCTTTGATGTCACTGTCACCGTCTTAACATTTTATTTAAACGTTGATTTAAAATTCAAGAGAAGTATCTCTTATGACACCTAGATGTATTATTTATTTATTCATTATTATTATTTACTTCAGATAATAAATTTTTACTTTAAATCAAAGCAATTTTTTTTACTATTTATTTACCAGAATTCAATATTTTATGAGTTATTAACACTAACTATATATATTAAATAATTTTAAATTAATAATTTCAAGTGGCAGGATTTTATTCACACGTCACATTTGAATATGATGAATGTGTACCGGATGATATTTTAAATAAAATTAAAACTTGAA